TAAGAACCAGCATTTCATCCCTTGACATTGAAAAATAGAAGAAAAAAATTATTTCTCACTTAAATATATTCGTAAATGACGAACTAGTTGTAAATGATTCCTTAACTAAAAAGTTGAATGCCCAATTTACAATGGGTAAATTTACAACAATAAGAAAGATATTGTTGTTTTTAATCTTAAAGTGTTGAATTCTTTTAATTTTTTTCCTATGAAGAAAAGTTAATTGCGGTCGGGTATACTCTGGGTACATATTGAAACCAGTTCTCCCTGAGCAGACTTTGTAAATAAGAAAAGATGCATCAGTGTTCGTTTAGTATCCGAGGATTTAATTTTGATAATTTTGAAAATTCACATAATAGTTTCCTATGACCAAAATATTTCATAGATTATTTTTGTGAAAATGGATTCCATGTTAGGCTGTGACATCCGTCTTGTGTTTACTTTTCCGCCCAAAGACAGGACACTGCAGAACAAAAAATTTGTACACCTCTGAAAAAACTTTCCTTGCATTAGTACCTCGAACAAAGTATTGTTATGTATTATAATTAAAATTGATAATAGCACAATTTTTCTACTGTTTACTTTAACTATGATCGACTATTAACTTAACTCAACTTCATACAGTAATAACCAGAAAACAATGGAATAGGAAGACGACATTAAATTGGAATACTTAAGTGTATTTCATGTTGTTACACAGCATATAGTTTTACTTGACACTTATCAAATCACTAATTTATTGAAATGGGTTGATGTTTACTCTACACAAATGCTGTGTCTCTTGTGCTCATTGTACTTTTTAAAGTTATAACCTGATTCTTAAAGTCGTCTTCATATTCCCGAGTTTTATGGTTATCACTGTAGTTTACCTGGCGGATTTTAAACTATTCTTCAACTCCTCTGTCTCTTGCTCCTAGTTAAATATAAAAAATAACTAGATGAAGAATTTTAGACAACAGACATGATTTAAAGGACTGTAATGTACACGTAAATTAAAGTAACCTTTAATTTTAGGAATGAGAATATTTGAGTTAGTGGCAAGAACTCAGTTCCTTTGGGTAGATTTTTATTAAACCAGTTGATTACAGGAAATAACTTTTTAATAAAAAAATCTTAAATTTCAAATAATTTTTTTCCTTAGTCCGAAGTTTGTACTGGTCTGACGTTTGTACTGGTCTGGTGTTTGTACTAGTCCGACGTTTGTCCTGGTCCGATGTTGTACTGTCCGACCTTGGTAAGTCTTAGGTTTGTACTGTCTGACGTTTGTGGGTCCGACGTTTGTACTGGTACCAATCTAAGGACTATCCTATAAAACTATGTCTGACCATCGACGAGAAAAATATCTGTAATCTTCTAACTGAAAATTAAAAAGAGAGAAACTCAAAGAGTACAGTTTAAACTACGCGCGAGTAACGTCGCATAGTTCCCGGAGTAACTCAATTTTTAGCTAGAAAAAAAAGGATATCTCATTCATCCTTGATCAAGCAAATGTTGTACCGTTGTAAATTGGACCCAGCATAAAAAAGAGTCACTTGAAATTACGTATAAAATACAATTAGCGACAGCCTGACTTGTTAAAAATTATTTTAGCATTGTTTAAGTTATGTAAATTGCTTGTTAAAAAAATAAATCAACGTTTAACTGTCCGGAATCTTATTCTCAAATCTAAGAAATAAAACTGGATGAAATCTATATAGATACAGGTATAACATGATGCATAAAAAGAAATTTGAATAAAGGCACCTTCTCAGTCTGCTTCTTGATCAGATCATTCTTCTCCCTGGTCAAGGATTCAACCACGTTCCTCAGCTTGAGGAGCTCATCATCCTAAAAAAAAACAATTGAAGTTAAAAACTTGAATTAGAAATTTCCCTGAAAATCTAGAAAGCCCTTTGTCTGATATAGCTTTACAACTAATAAATGTTTGGCTTATCAAAATAGCTGAAACGATGAAGTCTGATTTATTAGTGGTATCTCACACGACCCCAGGGACAGTATTTTTGTGGAAATATTTTGCCTCAAAATATATATTTTTTTTCAATTTGGGAAATCCGCCCTAAGGATAGCAGGAAAATCTGAGAATTTTGTCTTGTTATTATTTAACAATGTAGGAAAAGCTAGCAAAGTGCAGATATATCTGCACCAAAAAGCAAAGTTTCTTACCAAAAAGATTGAC